GGCTTTTTTTGGGCTTGTTGGGGGCCTCTTGGGGGCTTCTTGGAGCCTCTTGGAGGCCTCTTGGGGCCTCCTTGGCGCCTTTTGGGGCGGAAGGCTAGAATTTTAGGTTCGTGGTCCCCGTCTGGAGCCTTTCTTGGGCCCCTCTGTGGGCCCTCTTGGACTGTCTGAAGGCCCTCTTGAGCCGTTTTGAGGCGCTCTTGGGCCGTGTTGGGGCCCACTTGGGAGCCTCTCGGGTCGTCTTGATGCCGTCTTGGGGGCTTCTTTCGCCGTCTTGGAGCGTCGGAAGCCCGAAAAAACGCGAAGGCCAAAAACGTTGAAAAAACCAATGGAAATCGACGATTTTGGCCTCTTGGGGCCATCTTGGGAGGCGTCTTGGAAGCTTCTTGGGGCGTCTTGGAGGCATCTGGGGCCATCTGGAGGCCATCTTGACCGTCTTCGAGTGTTTTTTCGGCGACTCGGGGCCCTCTTGGACCGTCTGCAGAGCTTCTTGGGAGCCTCTTCGCTCGTTTGCGGCCCCCCCAGCAGACTCTCTGGAGCGGATGACCCCCCCCGGACCGCGCCGGCGGATCCCGGGGAATCCGGCCGGACCCCCCCCCCCCCCCCTCCAAAACGACCGGACCAGGCTCCGGGGGGAGGGGTTTGGGGAGGGGGGAAGCATCTCACACGCCGATGACCCCAAGGGGTCGGCGGATTTCCCATGGGAAAATATACATTTTTAGCATACAAGGCTTTTCGGCTTTCACTGCGTTGAAGACGCTCCAAGAGGCCCCCAAGACCGCCCCAAGACGGCCCAAGAGGCTCCCAAGAGGCCCCCCAAACGGCCCAAGAGGGCGCCAAGACGGCCCAAGAGGCGCCCAAGACGGCCCAAGAGGGCGCCAAGACGGCCCCAAGAGGGGGACCACGGTCTAGCCTTTCGCCCCAAGAAGCTCCCAGGAGGCCCCCAGAGCCCCCCAAGAAGCCCCAAGAGGCCCCCAAGAGGTTCCCAAGAGGCTTCCAAAAGGGCCCGACAAGGGCCCCAATAGGACTCCCAAGAAGGCCCAGAGACGCCAAATAGAGAGCGATCGGTAACGCAAAAAGCTCTTCACACCAAGGCTCCCAAGAGCGAACGGTGACGTAAACAAGCTGATAAGACCAAGGCTCCCAGCAGAGAGCGGTGACGTAACAAGTTCCTGACACAAGGCCCAGCCAAGGCTCAGGAACGGGCGGCAACGCAACAATCTCTGAAAACCAAGGCTCCCAAGAGCGAGGGGTGACGTAACAAGCTCTCAACGCCAAGGCTCCCAGTACGAACGGTGGTGTGAGTAATTTCGGCTTCTGTTTCTGAAGCGCTCTTTCCGTTTCTGTGCCGGGCCAGGTCTACTGGGTCGTCTTGGGGCCCCTCCTGGGGCCATCTTGGGGGCCCCTTCGGTCGTCAGGGGGGTATCTCCAAGGCCTCTTGGGGCCATCTTGGTGGCCTCTGGGGCCGTCTCGGGCCGTCGGAAAGCCGAAAATCTGCAAACGCCCAAATCCTTCAAAAACCGTTGGACAATCAATGCTTTGGGTCGCTTCGGGGCTTCCTGGAGGTCATCATGGAGGCCTGTTCAGACGTCGTGAAGGCCTCTTGGGCGATCTTGAGGCCATCCTGGGGGCATCTCTTTCATTATTGGAGGCATCTTGGGCCATCTTAGGCTCTCGTGGGGCCTTCGTGGTCATCTAGGAGAACATCTTGGCCGTCTTGGAGGCCCTCTTAGGGCCGTCTGGAACGGAAAGACCGACGACCTGGGACGTGTACGGGTCTTCGTGGAGGCGAGTTTGTTGGGTGTTCTTTCCTTGCGCGCTCTTCTAGATGGCAGACAGGTTGTGCCGAAGAAACGAGAAACAACAACTAGATGACATTCGGCACGCTTTGCACCCCTGCCGCAAGCCACGGGGCTGCGGTTGACGGAAAGCGCGTTTAGCTTGCGATCCGTTCGTCGGAAGAATTTTAAACTAAGGGGATTCCGAAGGGTTCGGCATGTATACGCCCAGCGATCTAGTGACTAGTGGCCCAACTGGCGATTCCGCTCGGAACATCCTCAAAACACTGAGATCGATTGGGATCGTTCTCGGAAGGCTTCAAGACGGCCCAACATATCCAAACAAGATGGCTCTACGATGCCCTACTTCCGCAGAACAAATGTCGATGTCGGACATCCTCACAACAAATTAAGTGTCCAGAATCGCTCTTGCCCAAAATGACGATTTCGCTAAGGGAATCCTCACACATTAAATGTCGTCGACGCCGTCCCGGCCTCGGTCTTGGCCAGAAAGGCGATTGCATCCGGGACAACCTCACACAAATAAGATGTTGCCGATATCGTTCTTGCCCAGCATTGCGATTTCGCTAGGGTTATCCTTACACGAATGAGATGTTGTCGACGTCGTCTTGGTCTCGGTCTCGGGGTAACGCGGCCAGGCGAGTTCGAACGGCCAGGCGTGTTCAAGCGGCCATGCGATTTCAAACGGCCAGGCGGGGCAAAACGGCCAGGCGGGCTAGAACGGCCAGGCGAGTTACAACGCCCAGGCGGGTTCAAACCGCCAAGGATGTCAGCGCGGTCAAGCGGCGTAATGGCCGTCCCGATGAAAACAGTAACGCGGTCTAGATGGCCATGCGGTTTGAAACGGACAACTGGGCCAGGTGGGCTCAAACGCCCAGACGGGATGAAAAGGCCTGCCGGGTTGAAATGGCCAGGCGGGTCAAAACGGACCGGCAGGCTCAAACGGCCACGCGGGTCACAACGGCCAGGCGGGTTCAAACGACTACGCGGTTTCAAGCGGCCGGGCGGGTTACGGCGGCCAGGAGGGTTCAAACGCCCCGGCGGGCTCGAGCCTTGCGGGTTGAATTTCTCCAGGCGGGCTCAGAAGGGCCAGGCGGGTTCGGAAGGGCCAGGCGGGTTCCGAAGGGCCAGGCGGGCTCCGTCTGCCAGGCGGGCTAGAAAGACGGACCGGCGCGTGGCAAAAGCCGGGCGCGTTACGAAGCGGCCAGGCGGAGTAGAACGGCCAGGCCGGTGCTGGTGTGGCCCAGCGAGTTCGCATGGCCAGGCGGGTTCCAACGGCCAGGCCGGTGCCAACGGCCAGTCGGGTTGGAGCGGCCACGCGTGCTGAAAAACGGCGAGGCGGGCTCTAACGGCTAGGCAGGTCAGAGTGGCCAGGCGGGCTCACGCGGCCAAGGATGTCGGCGCGGCTGCGCGGTCGGAAGTGGCCATACCGATGAAGACAGTCACGCAGTCTGAATTGCTAGTCTGTTTGAAACCGGTGTTCGTGTCTAAACGGGCAGGCAGGTTCAAACGCCCAGGCGCCTTGGAGCGGCCAGGCGAGTTGGAACGACAAAGCGGGTTAGAACAACGAGACAGGTTAAAACGGTCAGGCGGGTCAAACGGCCAGGCAGTTTGAAATTGGTAGGTTGGTTCAAACGAGGTACAACGGCCAGACAGGTTGAAACGGCCAGGTGGGTTGAAACGGCAAGATGTGCTAGAACGGCCAGGCGGGTTACAACGGCTAGGCGGGTTAAAACGGCCAGGCGGGTTAAAGCGGCTTAGCGTGTTAAAACGGCCAGGCGGATGCCCGTCCAATCCGAATGGTCGAAGAGGGTCTTCGCGACTGCCAAAAGTGGCGCTTCCGCCAGGGACACCCTCAGAAAGATGATCCATCTCCAACATCGAATGTTTGAAAGGATATGTCTAACATCCTCTTAAAATTTATGAAGGCCTCAAGACGGCCCAATAGGGTCCGAAGACAGCCCAAGAGCCTTCCAGAAAAGGCCCACGAGGGCCCCAAGACTCCTCAGGATTGCGACAAGGGTCAGGCGAAGAGAGGACGCCAGGCGAGGAAGACTGGACAAGCCAGCGACCTCGCGCCATCATTCATCACAACAAGTAAGTTGCGCGTTCTGCCCCGTGCCAAGCAGGTCTAGTGGCATTCGGCCCATCCCGCCACCGTGCCTTGGATAGCCTATCGTTCGGCGACTCGAGGCCTTCTGGGACCGCCTGCCAGGCCTTTGGGGCCCTCTTGGCCCATCTGTGGGCCCCCCAAAAAACTCGCGGGAAGACGCCCCGGGCGCGCCAGGAGGCCTAGGAGATTCGAGCATCTGGGGTCTGAAATATCCCCAGGCTTGCGGACTGGAGCTCAGGATATCGAGCAAGGAGCCTCAGGGCACGCTCGTGCCTCGCGGCACGGTGGCGGCTGAGAACGAAGCGCCGCGCAGACGCGCGGGCCCTCGGAGGCACGCGCGGACGTCGTGGACCGGCGTCGGGCCCCCGCCCGTGGGCACGTTAAGAGCGCGCCGCGGGGCGGCGCCAGAGGCGCCGCGGGGGGGGGGGGGCGCTGGGGGAGGCGCGGGAGGCGCCGCCACAGAGCAGGCCGGGGAGCGCGCCGGTTCCCGGCGTGGCGGCTCCAGGGCGCCGCCCCCGCTTTCCTGTCGCGGTCGTCGGCAGCGACCGATCGGTACTTCATCTCGGTCGCGACCGATGGGTCGCAGCCGATGCGGAAACCAAGCCGTCGCGACCGATGCCAGAACGTGAGGCGAAGTCGGTGGCCACCGCTCTCCTCGGCCGCGACCAGGCCATGCTGGCATCCAATGCTCAGGGCAGGGGGGGGGGTCCAGCGCCGATCCAGGACATCCGTGCGGACCTCGGACAAGTCTATGATCGTGCCGATGTGGCGTCTTCAGCCGATGTCTGAGCCCGGCAGCAAAGTCGCGACGGGGGGGGCCATTTCCTGGCCTTAGGATTAAGTCGGGCCTGTCCCTCTACAGGAGGAAAATTTAGAGATAGAGATAGTCAAACAATAGTCCGTGGACGATTTGTCTATTATTTTTGACAAGTATTGAAGATTCGCTGATTTTTTTTTATTTCTGGTCCACAATCCCTTTGTAGGAAGACATGCCCGACCTAACCCTGGGACCGTCAGACAATTGTTCGGGGGGCGGCGCTGGCCCCGGGGAGAGGGTCGAGATCCATTGGGGCCCCCTCGGCCTTCGCAAGGTGGAGTCGTTCGAGAACAAGATCAAGTCCACGGAGGAGGCCGTCAAGAAAATGAAGGCTGGGGGGGCGAGGGGAGGGGCAGCGTCGTCCTCTTCCTCCTCCTCGTCGTCAACATCGTCGGCAGCATGATCACCCTCTCGCCCTCGTCCAGCTTTTCCTCCTCCTCCTCCTCCTCCTCCTCCTCTTCCTCATGCTTTGCTCCCTCTCCTCCACATGCTCGTGGGCTCAGGCTCGGGTAACTCGTGCTCGGGCGTGGTGCCCCGGGCAGTGCACCAGTTTTCGGTACAGCTTCGGGGCCAGCTCTCCCAGGCGTCTTGGATCCTCCTCTTGAGGACAGCCTCTGGGCCTCTGCATGTCTAGTCGATGGACGAACTTGGCCCCCACGGAGTGTTTCATCTTCCTCCTCGTGCTCGTCTGCCTGCGCTTCCTCCCTCCTCTACCGAGATCCTGGCGTCCTAATTGTTTTGTTCACCGGGCGTTCTCTCGCCTGGCTCTAGGGCCTTCGAGGTTCGACCTGGCTCGAGACGTGCCGCTGCAAGATTGGGGAGGAGGAGATGGAGGAGGAGGAGGAGGAGGAGGAGGAGGAGGAGGAGGAGGAGGAGGAGGAGGAGGAGGAGGAG